GTCTGTTACCCCCGATATATAGGACAAGAACGCTTTGCCTATTCATGCTGTCTCTTCATCATTTCTTCTAGAAACATTGTTAATTGATTTATGTATTTCTCTTTTGGTATAACATTAGGGGTGAGCTTTCAATATGAAGAAGTTCACTTTGTAGATGCTGTGGTTCACAAATTCTCTTTGCCCTCTCCGCGTCAGTGTTTTGATGATACCTTGTTTTTCTGAATGATGATTTGAGTTTCTGTTTAGGTATCTGTCCGTGTGTAGGTTTTGGATACACTTTATGTCCCAACCTTCCTGTGGATTTACTAATACATCTAGGAACGTTAGTTGTTTATCTTTCTCTGTTTCCATCGTAAATTGAATATGTGTTTATAAATACACTACACCCAAATATTCAATTTAGCGGTGCAGATTCTTAGCACCTTCTGCCTTCCCACTTGATCTCTTAATCTACCCAGTTCAGGTCTATTGAGGATGAGAGCCATGATTTGAATATGACGTGTGATGTTTGTTGGTCTTACTAAAACCCAAGAAAATATGATGAAATTGTAAGAAAAATAGTAAAACATTCTAATTTTCCGTTAAAGCAATTGTAAGTGTCAAATAGGGCGTGTTCAAAAATTAAATATTAAGCATGGAAAGCAGCTTAGACCATGGAGTATTAATTATTTAGTAGTATGCTCATTAAATTCTTTGGTCTATCAGGCACTCTTATTTTAATTTGATATTTTAGTTTATTATCAAGACATCGATTTTTTTTATTTAGCTTACGATATCTTTATAACAAAATTTCTGAACGCAGTATTAATATTTGACAATAAAATGTTTATTACAGTCCTAAATATCTTATGCAGTCTTATTTTAAAGTAGGGCCTATAGGCAGAGGTCAGCGAAGGAATAGATCTCATCTAAACAAACAAAATGAGCTCGCCCATTACCAAGAAAGGATTCCTGTGCCTGAAGGTCATAGACGAAAGAAAAATTATTTACGATGCCGTCAATGTACTAAAAATAAAATTAGAAAGGAAACATCTTGGCAATGTAAACATTGTTACGGAAATCCACCGTTATGTCCGGGAATATGTTTCGAAACATGGCATGAGAACTGACACTATTATATCATTTGTATTTGTTGTTTATGACATGTATAAATAAATAAATTTTGCTAGGAAATACTGTGATAATTATTATTGTTGGTCTGCAACAAGACCATAGCTTGACAAGATGCTTCTTTTTTCGAATTGACCAGATATCTATGTGACGTGTTTTAGTTGGAAAGCAATTCGTTAGTAGAGCCTAAAGTGTTGTTCATTGTAGTTTAATTATTTTAAATAGTGGTGTAGCTGTTCTTTAGTAGAGTTTAGACTGTAGAATATGGCTTGCTATAATTAAATGATTTTGAATAGTGATGTGGCGTTTGCGGAACAATTTGGTTGAAAATATTGCGTATGATGACGTTAAGAAGATTCGAATACATTTAAAATCTTTGAAAATAAACAAATTCAAAAATACAGACATAATTCTGAATAACCAACTTGAAACAGTTTTCTTCTCCTTAACTTATTCAGTTAAAGATTACCTATGGAGTGTAAACGCATAATTTTGTGGAAGTTTTGAAAACAGAAGTATTCAGTATTTCATTTAGATGGTATAAATCTTTATAACGAATCATATTTGTTGCTCTCAAAAACTATATGTTTATCTTTTAACATATTTTTCTAAGTTAAGTAATTTCTCATTTAGATTTATATTAAAGTTGAGGTTATTTTTATATACTTTATGTATCTTTCTTTACGGCAAATACACATCAAAGCTTGAATTTCTGGTGGAGTAGTCATGATTAGGTCTTGCTGAAAAAATATTTAGGTATTTAACTAATTAAGCAAACAGTTTCTAGAATATATAAAGAAGGAAAAGTCAAAATCCGGTGGTTTTTGAAGTAACTTCTCCAATGTGTTATCCTCCTGAGGTCAAAAAGATACTGTATTGCTCTTTTTTGTAATTTAAAAATAACATCAGATAGGGCAGCTGTACTAGAACCTCAAAAAGGAAGGCTATATCGAAGATGAGACTCCAACAAAGAAAAGTATGTTATTTTGGAAGATGCTAAATTGATTTCCTTCGAAATAGATCTTATTGCATACTAGACTGAGGCTAATTTCTTACTTAACAAGTCGATATGAAGTGGCCATTTAGAGACCAAGATAAGGAACAGTAAAGGACCCAGTACTGAACCTTGTGGTACTCCACATACAATGCTTTTGTGACTGGCGTTAGTATCATTTGCTCTAACTAAGTAGTTCCTCAAGTAAGATTGGAAACAATTCAAAGAAATACCTCGAATTCCATAGAAATTTAGTTTTTTTATCAAAATGTCGTGATTTACACAATCAAAAGCTTTGGCAGTCACAAAAAACAGTGGCAGTATAAAGATTACTGTTTAGTGCTGATAGACCTCATGTAATACAAAAAACATAGTATCGCTGGTACATTTGTTAGATAAAAAGTACGAACTGACTTTGTGATAAAATTTTGTTTTCAACGAGGATAAAGGACATAAGTCGGGCTTTTATACGTCTCTCAATATTTTGGATAGGACCGGTAGTAGGTAATAGGTCTATAGTTGCAAAAATTGGATTTTTCATCACCCTTATGAAGAGGAATAATATTGGCTGTCTTTAGGCCCTCTGAAAATATACATTTTTCAAAGGAATCCTACAATATTTTAGTGATTTAAGAAATTTTTATGGATAGTCCGTCAATACTACAGGAAGACTTGCTTGCGATAATACTGATTGTTTGAATCAGTTCAGATTTATTAACTGGTCTTAGAAAGAATGAATTCGAGATCTTTTTTTAATTGGAGATATAGGAAATAGGATCTTATTGTGTCAATATAGCTGATGTTATATTTTTACTCACATTAACGAAGTATTCATTTAGGTTTTCAGGCTTTGGAAGAGAAAATGTTTGAACTGTGTTAGTGTGATTTCGAAGATCGTTTATTATGGACAAAGTTTCCCTTGCAATATTTGCAGAGCTTCCTAGACGATTCTTATAAAACATTTTTTAACTGTTTTGATAAGCTTTAGATAAGATACTATGTCTATCTGTCTATCTAATCAGCCTTAAACGCCCACTCTTGGGCATAGGCCTCCCCTGTTAATCTCCATTGGTCTCTATTTTGGGCGATCTGCATCCAGTCCTTTCCTGCCGTTCTCTTAATATCGTCAGTCCATCTCATCTGTGGTCTTCCTCTTTTTCTTTTCTTTTCCCATGGTCTCCAGTGTAGAATTCGCTTATTCCATCTTTCATCTTTTTGCCGGAGAGTGTGACCGGCGAAGTTCCATTTAAGTTTTGCAACCTGTCTTGATACATCGTTCACCTTTGTTTTTTTCTCTGATCCATGAGTTTCTTTTCCTGTCTTTAAGACCGATACCCAGCATCTGTCTTTCCATTGCTCTTTGTGTTTTGGATATCCTGTCGATGTTCTCCTTTGTGAAAGTCCATGTTTGTGAGCCATATGTGATAACTGGTAAAATGCACTGGTTGAATACTTTCGTTCGCATATATTGAGGGAACTTTTTATTTTTTAGAATATATGATAGTTTACCAAATGAGGCCCATGCTAGTCTAGTTCTTCTGTTTATTTCTTCTGTTTGATTGTCCCTGTTCAGCTTTATTATCTGTCTTAGGTATATGTATTCTGCCACCTGCTCTAATTTATTCTGTTTGACTACTATTTCTAATTGGTCTTCTTGGTTTGTCATAGTCTTGGTTTTACTATAGTTCATCTCTAGACCTACCTCTGTCGCTTTTCTATCTAGTTCCTCAACCATCTTCTGTAACTCTTCTTTCTTATCTGTTATCAGGACTATATCGTCTGCATATCTCAAGTGGTTCAAGAGCTCTCCATTTATTCTTATTCCGTATGTATCCCATTCTAATTTTTTAAATATGTCTTCCATAACTTGATTGAACAATTTTGGTGATATTGTGTCTCCCTGCCTGATTCCTCTTTCGAATTTTATTGGTTCTGTAGCGTGTTCGTTCGTCAATTTTATTGTGGTACTCGCATTTTTGTATATGTTTGTTATTAGGTCCGTGTACCTGTAATCAATTCTGCCATTCTGTAGTGAGTTTTTGATGGCCCAATGTTCTATGCTGTCAAACGCCATGTCTATGAATGCCATGTAGTCTATGAATGCCATGTATAATGGGATTTGATACTCGTTCGACTTTTCAATCAGTATTTTTACTGTTAGCAGATGGTCGCTAGTACTAAAACCCTTTCTGAATCCCGCTTGTTCTCTTGCTTGTTATTCGTCAAGCTTAGTTGTTAGTCTATTTGTCATGATTTTCGTTAGTAGTTTAAACTACTAAAGATCCTATGTACTTGGAGATATATTCAGTGACAAAGACGTTGGTAGTAAATTTCTTGATGTACAGTAGTGAACGTATATTATTGGCTGATATGCGGATGCCTTTGTTAGTCCATGGATTGTGATGTTTTGACTTAATTGTAATTAAAGGAAATGCCTTATTGAAAATACAGACAAGCTTATTATGTGAATGAATGTCTCGATTTGATTAAAATATTGTTTCGATTATATTATTTATCGTGCAAGGCTATAAGCTTCTCTGGTCTATTCATTTTCAAGATAAGCCCGATATAAATACAGTATTATGCGTGATCAATAGGCATGCCCTGTCGTTATCGAAATATTAATTTGTCATTCTTTAAAAATTAAATGGTCCCAGGGATATCACCTTTTACAATTTCAACAGGGTCAAACCGAGTTATTGGCTTTGTAGTGTTACTTAACGTTGTGCAACGGATCTCCAAATTACTCGCACGTTCTATGGTGTGTTTCTGTTTTGTCGCTTATCTTGGAAGCGAACACAGTATAGTGTATGCAAGTGTTTTGTTACTTAAGCTTTTAGTTTGTCATTGAAATGTAGAAATAACTAGTTGTGTTGTAGGTTTAATATATTTTGATATGGGGATAAAGAATCCAAAGATAATGCTAGACGATTATGATTATCGACTATATAGAAAACTAGAAAAACGAACAGTATGGTTATGCTCACAATACTATTCTACCGATAAGGAAACTAGATGTAAAAATAGAATTGAGACTACAGGTCGAATAGCTTATGTAAGTGGTCAGCACAATCATCTACCAAAGAAGAAAAAGGATCGTTATAACAATATGTTATCTCAGATGGTGACTATTATAAGAAAAGAATAATATGTATTTTTTATATAATGTTCATGATTTATAATAAAAGATTTGTATAAGCTAATAAGTTTTTACCTCGTTTACTCTTGTAATCAGCTGAAAAGTTCGTTATTATTTTAATTATGATCATTGTATTATTCTACATAGGATTTGCGTTGTTTTTATTTTATTTATTTGCATCTCGACTTTATTTTAAAAATAAATTTCATTTAAATTTCATAGAATATCTGGGGATAAAGCAATTATAGCTATATCCTTTGATCTATCTTCAACTTCAACTTTTAACTCTTCATGTTAAAACTTTCGAGCAACCCCGTATACTACACTTTTAGTTAAGTACATCCAGACGTTCATTTTACACCCCTCGAGAGAGACTACATTATAATGCGCTCCCTAACTTTCGCGTGATTGGTTGGTGGGTGGGTCCCAATTTAAAAATTGTATTGGTACAAAGCGGATGATATTCACATTTTAGGATTAAGCTGACTAGTACAGTTTTATTAGAAATTAAAATTTATTTTTCTTTTGACATTATGTAGGTAAAATTAAATTCTGACATTGTGTTTATTTAATTTTGATATGCTAGTGATGCTTTTTTTTATTAGATATATAGATATTGTTTTAATTTTTTTGTTTAGGTAATTTTTTTTTAAGATTTAGAGGTTCCTCTTATTATTTTGATTTATAGAACATTCGTTACCATTATTATTCTCATTAGCTTTCTCTATGTGGAATCGGCTTCTCTAAGTATTTTCCTCGAAACTTTTCTGTTCTCTTCCAGGGACTAAGTACCTCTCCGCTTTTTGTATTAGATTATGGTTTTGGAGAAACATGTAATTTCTGTTCATCCCCTTTTTTACTGCCCTACATTCAGTACCATACATCATAGCTGGTCTAAAGGCAGTCCTATACAATTTAGGAGAGCTTTAGAGGGGTTTTCCTTCGCCATTGCACCAATAACGGCCCCCCTCCTTTGATTTCCCAGATTTTTAATAAAGAATGGAGATATTTTAGATATAGCTATTTAGTGTTTTATTTGGTTCGCAATCGTTATTTCCAGTAAACCTCTGCTTCATTTTGTTGACAATGACAATTTTTCATAGCACTCAATTCACAATATATCTTTTTATTATCCTACATTTGTGGTAAAATCTAACAGAATTCAGTGTAAGGTTCTACAAAATGAAAATGGATTAATGTCAATTTGGATTTAGGCAAGGCAGGTCTACAACAAGCAATTTTTATTAAAATAGCTAATTTAACAATTTAGAGTGAATTTACATTGTATTATTAAACTTGAGAAAGCACATGATAAAGATATCAGAAACTTACTGTGGCAGAGATTAAGTAGGAAAGGAGTGCCGGCTGAATATGTGAGTGGAGTATGAGCAAGTAACAACTATAATAGTGTTAAAACAACTATTATAGTGTTAAAACGATTACAGATGAAACTGGCAAATTTTGTGTAAAATGGGTGAAAATCAGGGTTTCGCCCATATTTATTCTCATTTGTGCTAGATTAGATAACAACTGAACCTCCTGGGTATTAGTAGAAAAGAGTAGCGGAGACAGGTCCTGGAAGAAAAATGATTAAAATTAAGTTGGATACAAACAAAATATTTAGAATATTCTTTTAAAGATGAAATTTCAAGACCAGATAGAGTAGTTGGCTTGGATAGACAAGAACTCATAAGAGATCATAATGGTTGGCTTTTAGGATTGGTATTACCGTTTTATCTCTAATATTTCAATTAAAGGTAAAGGAAAGAGGCAAATTGAGTGATGTATGATAAAAAAGGTACCAAGAAAACTAAAAGGTAAATTGTATAGGACTGCCTTTAGACCAGCTATGATGTATGGTACTGAATGTAGGGCAGTAAAAAAGGGGATGAACAGAAATTACATGTTTCTGAAAAACCATAATTTCATACAAAAAGCGGAGAGGTACTTAGTCCCTGGAAGAGAACAGAAAAGTTTAGAGGAAAATATTTAGAGAAGCCGATTCCACATAGAGAAAGCTAATGAGAATAATAATGGTAATGAATGTTCTAGAAATAAAAATAATAAGAGGAACCTCTATCTTAATAATCTTAATAAAAAATTACCTAAACAAAAAAATTAAAACAATATCTATATACCTAATAAAAAAAAGCATCACTAGCATATCAAAATTAAATAAACACAATGTCTGAATTTAATTTTACCTACATAATGTCAAAAGAAAAATAAATTTTAATTTCTAATAAAACTGTACTAGTCAGCTTAATCCTAAAATGTGAATATCATCCGCTTTGTACAAATACCACAATATATTGCTAATAAATTGTTTAGCGATATACTGTGCCACAATACCTCAATTTTATTGTCATTTTAATAAACATGAAACCCGCCAATTTTTAAATTGGGACCCACCACCAACCAATCACGCGAAAGTTAGGGAGCGCATTATAATGTAGTCTCCTCAAGAGGGGCTGCTAGATAGTAACGGCAGTAACGGACAGAAGACGGTCGACCACCAAGAGTCTCATCACAATCACGTTACGATAAGGACGCTAGTTTTAAATTTATTGTTTACAAAATATTTTACATGCGCCTTTTTTTCAATACAGTTTAGTTTAAGTGATTTGTTTTTGTATTATTACGTGAAATTCTAATAAGATTTAACTTATATCCTACACTTCAGTATTTATATTTACCCTAGTTAATCTGCGAAAAAATCATTGATTTCACGTAAAAAAACGCAAAAAGTTGCGTTATATATTAATTCTGTGATACATGGTTTCTTCTGATTATACAAGGCCGAGTAAGGTCTTTCTATTGTAAATTCAAAGCATGGAATTTTCAACCAACATGAACGACCAATCAATCAAATCATCTCTCTCTCTTATACTAATTGCATTTCGAGCATTAATAAGCTCTTATGTGAGATTGTGTCACAAGTTGCAAATTATTTAAAATTAAACACATAAACCTTAATGCAAGATTATCCTTAAAAAGTTCTAAAAAAAATAAAATCATTTTTGACAGTTTCTTCTTACGTAAACCTTTTGAAATAGATTTAAATTTATTGTAGAAATGATCATTGTATATAAAAATTCTTATTATATTTATTTTTAGGAACAATTTACTTCGACGTTGGTCACAAAAATCCTAAAATTATCGTAGATAGGAATTCGTACCTTATGTACAGAAAACTTCCTGATAAAACAGTTTGGTTGTGTACACAGTATCATAAGAAAGATAGATGCAAAGCAAAAGTCATGACACGCGGAAGGCAAGCTATCATTATCGGAGATCACAACCATCAACCTACGTACCTGAATGTAAAAAATATGACTTCTCAAGTTGTGTCTGTCAAAAAAGCTAATAATTATGAGGAGTGTGTTCAGGAATGGGGAAAACTAAAAAGATGAAATGCTTCATTTATAAGAGGTTCTAAATTAATTGACGTATATCTAATGCTACCAATACCACGATCAAGTTCTCTGATACTATTCTACTTTTTTTCGTGTGTATTCATCTCTTACAGGTGTACATCATACTTCATTCTACATTTACAACATTATTTTCTTGCAGTCTGTCTTTTGTCTCCCATGTGATGTTTATTTTAGTTTTTATTTAAGTCATCGTGTGGAACGTAGACCCATCGTAACGTCAGAAAATCTAGGCCGCTAGACCCGACGACTACGAACTGCCCCACGCTACCTACGTACTTAGATAATATTTTTGTGAACATAATAGTTTTTATTTTACTTTCTTGTATTCAAAAAGGAACCCAATTCCTAAAGCATGAGCGAAAATTTTAAATGATTAAATAATGAAACTATAACAATAGAAGTAATCGAATAAAGTTTATTTATAAATCTACATTAACTTATATACAATAACAAAAACTACAGTTAAACAATAACAATGCTTAATTCTAATGTCAGACTAGTGATTCAAATAAGTGAGAGTGAACACTTTACTTTAGATTTTAAAAGTTAGCTGCATAATAATTGCAAACTGACTTAATGAAGTCCAATTTAGTAATGTTTTGATTAACGTAATATTCATTTAGCCTATTTTCAATAAAATCAACTTTTCTTTTTGCCGTTTTATCAAGTTTTTTTTCGAATCTATGTGCAGTTCTAATTTTCACATATACTTCTGCTTGAAAATTTAACAAAATGTGTGTAAATTTAAATATGTCAGGATGTGATTTATAAAAACATTCGTTAAATTTCGAGTGAAATGATTCACATGCGTTTGTAGTAAATATAAGAGATGATGAATTTGAAGCCCATATGTAAGGTGGAAATGTTGAATCTTCCGTTAAATAATTATCAACTAGGTAATCACAAAATTGCAAAACTCTGTCATCTTCTGGCATAATATTAAAAAGTTCATCAGAAAAAAAGTCACCAACATCATTTGGATGTAAATAAGGAATGCCGAAAAACAATTTTAAATATTTTCCAATAACAGTTTGATTTTTATATTCCGAGGACAAACCTAAATTTTGAATTTTTCGGTACCAATTTTGTGTTAAATGAAATTTGCAACAAAAAATAATAATGTCGGGCCACACTAACTTGGCTGCATTTTGAATTGCTATTTCAAAATCAGAAATTATTCGCTTCGGTTTGAAATTTAAATTCAAATCTGTACATATTGTTATTAATGTATCAAAAGTACTTTTGTACGATTGCTGTGATTTATTTGGTAACAAACAAAATACTAGAGGAACATAAAAACCATTTTTGTAGCCATGTATAGTAAACATCTGACAAAAATATTTAGAACAGTATTGAAAAGTTCCATCTACATACAAAGAATCTACATTACACAAAAAGTAAAGATTTGTGAAACAACTAAAAATTGCGGAATTATTTTTCGTAGATAATAAAAAGTTTTCACCTGTATTTGTTTTTAAATTTAAGTTCACTAACACTTGTAGAACTTCCTCCTGTGACTTGGGCAATGATGGTGTGGATTTTCGTCTTGTAGCATAGATATTTCTTCGAACGCAAGAAATGTCTTTCGTCGTCAGCGGTAAATTGCTGAATTTTTCCTTTCTCAATTCCTTGTGGACAATCTTAAAAGGTTTTTCACATATATCTTCTACAGCTTTTCTCTTTGTAGAATTACTAAAAATTTGCCGGTCTACGTGGATATCTGGAGCATGATTATGCTCCGATGCTTTTTCAAGAATAACATAATTTTCATCACCTTCCTTTGTGTACACTTTTTGTTGACAGCCTTTTTTGATGCATCGCCATCTAACTTTTCCATCTTTGGAGACATGGGCTTTTGAATATTTATATTCATTAATTATTAATAACAGTTCTCCCCTTTGACTAAACATAGTCGTTGGATTCGCCATTTAAATGTTAAACACAAAACTATACCGTAATACTTGCAACTGAAGTGAATAACTGAAAATATTTATATTCTTACTTTCAACTATGATCAAATTTGGAATTTCCGGTCATTAAGACTTAATCCCCAACTTTCTCGGCGATGGGGCAGTAGGTACTTCGGATTAAAGGCCCAGGTAGTTCGTGGGGCAGTTCGTAGTCGCCCCGCTGGACCACCTTAAACGGACATGCTTTTCTAGTATTTTCTTGACTAGACAGGTGGGACGGGGATAAGTAGAGTCGCAAGCGGATTGACGTAACACCCAGAAAGATTTCTATTAACACTGGTCTTATGGATGCATTTTATTTAATAGGGCTTTTAAATATAATCAGTCATTGTGTGTTTCCTTAAAAAAATATAATATTGAACTATTATGATCTGTTAAACCAGGACAGACGAAATTAAAGGATTTTATCCTTGTAAGGAATAATACCTAGGAAGCGATCATAGACTAATAAGAACAAAACTAATAATTAACAAAAAACTAGAAAGAAAAAGAATACATCAAAAAATATACAAATGGACATCTGAAGAAATCAAAAATAGTGAATTTAATAAAAAGATAGCGCATGCATTAAATCAAGTTAGCATGCAGCAGATAAACTCCAATGATATTAATGATTTGAATAACCTTATTACCGAAACAGTGAATAAAAGCCTTCTGCAACTGAAAAAACCAAAAACAACATACAATGAATTAGACAAAGAAATATTACAACAAATAAAAAGAAGGAAGATCTTAAATAAATCTATCAAAAGGGGAACCGACGAATATAGAGAACTTAATAGGCAGATTAGAAAAGGAACCAGACAACAAAAAAGAAAAGAAAACGAAAAATTAATAACAACAACTATTGAAAAAAATAAGAGTATGAAATGCCTCAGACCGACACTAGGACGACGTCAGATGATATCATTAATGGAAAAGACGAAAATGAAATCACAAGTAGAGAAAACATACTGACACGAATAGAAGAATTTTACACACTACTTTACAGATCACATCAACAAGATGATGAGATGAGACCAGCACGGAAATTAATAAAAAATGTTTGATCAGAAATAATGCCAAAAGTAACAATTTCAGAGGTAACTACAGCATTGGAAAACATGAAGAGAAATAAAGCTGCAGGAGAAGATAGTATTACCACAGATATGATATAAGAAGGAGGTAAGGAACTAATTGCAATTGTAACTAAGCTTGTGGACAGTTGTTTACATCAGGGCAAAGTCCCTAAGAGCTGAAACAACTCTAAAGTAATCTTATTACACAAGAAAGGTGATAGTCGAAAATTGGAAAACTACAGACCCATCAGCCTACTGTCACACCTGTTTAAAATACTCACCAAAGTCATAACTACTCGACTAACAAGGAAATTAGACGAATACCAACCATATGAACAGGCAGGTTTTAGAAAAGGCTATTCAACTTCCGATCACCTGTTAACCACAAAAATATTAATAGAAAAATGTAACGAATACAAGTTTCCAGTTTTCCTAGCATTTGTAGACTACGAAAAAGCTTTCGATACCATAGAACACACGGCCGTAATAAACGCAATGCAAAATTATAGTTAGTAGAATAGACAGCAGATATATTAACTTAATAAAAGAAACTATGAACCAAGCTACAGCTACATACTACCTAAATGAAAATGAACACACGAACCCTGTACCATTAAACAGGGGAGTCAAACAGGGAGATACTTTATCATCCCAAACTGTTCACCTTAGTTTTGGAGGACGTTTTTAAAAACCTAAATTGGAAATATAAGGGAATAAACATCAATGGCCGCTACCTCAGTAATCTACGATTTGCAGATGACATAATCCTGATAGCTACTGACCTACAAGAAATGCAAACCATGCTTTTAGAACTACATACCGAATCTTCTAAAATAGGACTGAAAATGAATTTAAACAAACAAAAGTAGCACTCGAGACACCGTGACAAAAAACGATAAAGTTATAGAAAAAGTTGAAGAATACATATACTTAGGACAAAAAATAATCCTAAATAGGGAAATTCAAACTGAAGAAATAAAAAGAAGAAGAAAGTTAGCTTGGGCAGCATTCGGTAAACTGAACTATATACTCAGAAATCAACAAATTCAATTACATCTTAGATCTAAAGTTTTTGATGCATGCATTATTCCGATATTAACTTATGCGGCACAAACATAGACAATCACAAAAAAGAATATGAATATACTTAGAGTCACTCAACACGCGATGGAAAGAGCAATGCTAGGTATATCACTTAAGGACAAGAAAACAAACACATGGATAAGACAGAAAACCAAAGTCACCGATGTGGTGCAAAAATCATTAAAGTTGAAATGGGAATACGCTGGACATGTAGCTAGGAGCGATCTAAACAAATGGCACAGATCAATTTTAACCTGGAGACCATACCAATACAAAAGACCCAGAGGCAGACCTCCTATGAGATGGACAGATGATCTGAAAAGGACTGCCGGGAAAAATCGGCTACAAGTAGCGTACAATAAAAAACAATGGAAGAAGACTTGAAGAGGCTTATGTTCAGATGCGTCCACCGTACATCGCCTTGTCAGGTGAGATGTTAAATATTCTGGATTAAATAATTCTGTTTTTAGCAGCATTGCGAAGCATTTCATAGCTGTAGATTCCTGTCCATTGTCGAATATTGAGCAGCCATGACATTTTTTTACGTCCGAGACCTCTCCTACCCTCTATCTTCCCTTCGAGTATCAGTTGCTGAAAAGTGTATCGTTCTCCTCGTATAATGTGCCCCAAGTATGCAGTCTTCTTACTTTTTACATAATTAAAAAGTTCCCTATCCTGTAAGCCCGCTCTTCTGAGTACTTCCTCATTTCTGACCCTGTCCGTCCATGACTATTCTGAGCATTCGACGCAGGCACCACATTTCAAACACTTCAAGTTTGTTAATGGAACTGGCCTTTAACGTCCATGCTTCCATTCCGTACAGGAGAACAGGCCACACGTAACACTTAAGCATCTTGTATCGGAG